CATTGACATGCTTGAATGCAGAGTTGGCTGATGCGTGTCGTTTTGCATTGCACATTCAAGTGAAACTAAATAATTGCCTTTGACTAACAGACTGGAATTTCATTCTGTTTGCATGTGAGATGAGGGAGTTGACAGGCTGTCTGTACCTGAGGAGTAGGACGTGGTCCTGCTGTAGGGAGCTGGCATGGTCTGGTAACCCAGGCTCTGCTGGGAACCCCTCTGGTTGTAGTCATATGCCTGTGGTTGCTTGTGGCTTGCGTTGCGGTGGTACCAGCCTTTCAGGTGCTCTGCCACCAGCGCCTTCTGGATGTTCTTGGTCACGTGTTCCGTCCGGGGCGGAGCTTGACGGTTCCTGGGTGGCCTCAGGGTGGCGTAGGGGTTCTGGGCCATACTGTCTATCTCGTCGTCACCATAGCGACTGCTGTACGCATCATGTCCGTGGTAGGCCGGCGTGGCGTGGTACGAGGGGTTGACGTTGTAGTGACCCTCTACCTCGCTGTCGTACATGTACACTCGGTTAGAGTAGGGCTCTGGTTCTGTGTAGCTGGGGTAACCCGTCACGTAGTAGGCCGTGGTGGTGGGTCGCGGTGCCCGGGGGGGCTGGTATGTGTTGTAGCAGGCATCAGCCTGTGCCAAGTTGGGCATGCTGCCCGTGTTGGTGTAGATGTTGCCCTTCCTGCCACGCCGGCGGTCCCTGGGGCGGTGGGTATGGTTCCCAGGCGCTGAATACTCCGCGCTGGATTGGCTGGTGTAGGATGAGCCGTCATCCAGGACCTCTGTGCTGTTGCTGCGGCGGAACGGGACGAACGCTGGCGCCGAGGGTGTGGTCTCTTGAGACTGGGACTCCAGACTGCCACTCCGCTGGCGGAAATGCTGGGGGTCGTCATCCGACCTGGGAACGAACAACACCATGATGAACAACATGATCCTCTGTCCTCCTTATATACAGCGCAATATTGATCACTACCTGACATAGGGTTAGAAATCCCATCCAGAAGTTATACAGAGAACAAAAGGTCTAGACAGGATGCTAGTCTAATTGGGGCTCCTGGCTGGTGTTGAGGGAGATGTGTTAGTGAACATCAGAGGCAGCTTTGTATGTGAGGGGTGTATGGAGGGCATGGAGGCCAGGGCCCGTACTCACAAAGCGTTTCAGAGTAGAAAATTGGTCATAAGTGCTGAGAACAGACATTTTACTCCTACTCTTATGGGTAAAAATAAAAGCTATGAATAAAGCCTCTTTAGTAATAAGAGTCCCACCTAGTCGACATATTTAGGAGACCTCATGAGCTGTCCTAACCAGTTAAGAGTTACCAGCAGGTGTCTTGATAATAGAAAAATGCAGCAAATCAGTGGTTCCTGTTTTGATATTTCTATATGATCAACCCAGAAATAATCTACACCTACATGCAACAGTATTTGTTGCGCTTTTGACGATTTCACATGAGGCCTATTTCACATGATATGCCTAAATAAATCATGTTTTTCTTTCGATTATTGAATTACCTACATCATATCATTTCAAGTTATCCCTTTGGAGGGCAGCATCACGTTGTTAAAACAGATGTCTAAATTGGGCATGCCTTTACGTTTGGCAATTGAATGCGTCTAGATACTAGGGCTTATGTTAACTTGATTGTCTTCGATGAAAGTTACAGACCTTTCAAACGTTGTATGCAACATTAAATCGGCAAGTGACTTGATGCCTACCGTGCCAAAACGATTTAGAGTTGTTAGACGGGAGTGACAAGTGTGTTGATAAACATTCAGCTGTTAACAATCAGAATTTGTTAAAAAAAAGCCTTATGCACGCCAACATATTAGGCAATAATAAAAGTAGGCAAAGTGATCGTGTCAGGCTAAAATTACATCAAACATTTTACCATTGCAACATTTGATGTACAGTCACATTCACCGTGGTTGTCTAAAGGGTGCTATTTAGTTCACAGCAGACTATGCCTCATCGCAATTGGTTATTCCACATCATTTGCAACATGTCAATGAGCGTCATCACCATCTTTACTTTGCGGTACCTCAAACTGTCATGATTATCAGCTGAAAAACATTTACAATTTGATTTTACATCTGGCTCAGAGTGTGTCTGAGCAGTCTCTTAACATCATCCTACTCTGAGCTGGGAGTTTTTTTTGTCTTAAAACAGGTTTGAATAGGAGTCCTAGGACTTTTTCTGAGATGCTTTGTGGATACGGTCCTGGCCTACCTGAACTGGGTGCTGCTGTAGGCGTTGCGATTGAGGAGGGGGGTGGGAGGCATGCTGTGTGCAGAGGCAGGCTTGTAAGGGCTGCTGTGGCTCGATAAGGCATCTCTGTGATTGTAGTGGAAAGGTTCCTGGACTTCGCCATAATTTAATCTGAAACACAAATAAGAACCATGCTTTTCACAGACTTGACTTCCTCAGGGTGGAGCTTGAATCATGATTACATGGCCTCTCCCTCTCCTCGCCACTCTAAACATAATCGTAAAAGCCTTGGTTTCTTGCACGTTAATATCCGAAGCCTCCTCCCTAAGTTTGAGTTATTCACTGCGTTAGCACACTCAGCCAACCCTGATGTTCTAGCAGTGTCTGAATCCTGGCTTAGGAAGGCCACCAAAAATGCAGAAATGTCCACCCCCAACTACAACATTTTCCGTCTCGATAGAACTGCCAAAGGGGTTGGGGTTGCAATCTACTGTAGAGATAGCCTGCAGAGCTCTATCGTACTATCCAGGTCTGTGCCCAAACAGTTTGAGCTTCTACTTCTAAAAATCCACCTTTCCAGAAATAAGTCTCTCACTGTTGCCGCTTGCTACAGACCCCCCTCAGCCCCGAGCTGTGCCCTGGACACCATATGTGAACTGATTGCCCCCCATCTATCCTCAGAGCTCGTACTGATTGGTGACCTAAACTGGGATATGCTTAACACCCCGGCCAACCTACAATCTAAACTAGATGCCCTCAATCTCACACAAATTATCAACGAACCTACCAGGTACAACCCTAAATCTGTAAACATGGGCACCCTCATAGATATCATCCTGACAAATTTACCCTCTAAATACACCTCCGCTGTATTCAACCAGGATCTCAGCGATCACTGCCTTATTGCCTGCGTCCGTAATGGGTCCGCGATCAAACGACCACCCCTCATCACTGTCAAACGCTCCCTAAAACACTTTAGCGAGCAGGCCTTTCTAATTGACCTGGCCCGGGTATCCTGGATGGATATTGACTTCATTCCGTCAGTAGAGGATGCCTGGTTATTCTTTAAAAGTGCTTTCCTCTCAATCTTAAATAAGCATGCCCCATTCCCATTCAAAAAATTCAGAACTAAGAACAGATATAGCCCCTGGTTTTCCTCAGACTTGACTGCCCTTGACCAGCACAAAAACATCCTGTGGCGTACTGCATTAGCATCGAACAGCCCCCGCGATATGCAACTTTTTAGGGAAGTCAGGAACCAATATACACAATCAGTTAGGAAAGCAAAGGCTAGCTTTTTCAAACAGAAATTTGCATCCTGTAGCACTAACTCCAAAAGGTTTTGGGACACTGTAAAGTCCATGGAAAATAAGAGCACCTCCTCCCAACTGCCCACTGCACTGAGGCTAGGAAACACTGTCACCACCGATAAATCGAGAATTTCAACAAGCATTTTGCTACGGCTAGCCATGCTTTCCACCTGGCTACCACTACCCCGGCCACCAGCTCTGTACCCTCCGCTGCAAATTGCCTCTGGCCGTCTCTATGGGCGTGCCACAGGGTTCAATTCTCGGGCCGACTCTATTCTCTGTGTATATCAATTATGTCGCTCTTGCTGCTGGTGACGCTCGGATCCACCTCTATGCGGACGACACCATTTTGTATACATCTGGCCCTTCATTGGACACTGTTAACAAACCTCCAAACGAGCTTCAACGCCATACAACACTCTTTCCGTAGCCTCCAACTGCTCTTAAACACTAGTAAAACTAAATGCATGCTCTTCAACCGAACGCTGCTTGCACCCGCCCACCCGACTAGAATCACTACTCTCGGCGGGTCTGACCTAGAGTATGTGGACAACTACAAATACCTAGGTGTCTGGTTAGACTGTAAACTCTCCTTCCAGACTCACATTAAGCATCTCCAATCAAAAGTTAGATCTAGAATCGGCTTCCTATTTCGCAACAAAGCCTCCTTCACTCATGCTGCCAAACATGCCCTCGTAAAACTGACTATCCTACCGATCCTTGACTTCGGCGATGTCATTTACAAAATAGCCTCCAACACCCTACTCAGCAAATTGGATATAGTCTATCACAGTGCCATCCGTTTTGTCACCAAAGCCCCATATACTACCCACCATTGTGACCTGTACGCTCTTGTTGGCTGGCCCTCACTACATATTCGTCGCCAAACCCACTGGCTCCAGGTCATCTATAAATCACTGCTAGGCAAATCCCTGTCTTATCTTAGCTCACTGGTCACCATAGCAACACCCACCCGTAGTCTGCGCTCCAGCAGGTATATCTCACTGGTCATCCCCAAAGCCAACACCTCCTTTGGCCGCCATTCCTTCCAGTTCTCTGCTGCCAATGACTGGAACGAACTGCAAAAATCTCTGAAGCTGGAGACACTTATCTCCCTCACTAACTTTAAGCATCAGTTGTCAGAGCAACTTACCGATCACTGCACCTGTACACAGCCTTTCTGAAATTAGCCCACCCAACTACCTCATCCCCATATTGTTATTTATTTAGCTAATTTGCACCCCAGTATCTCTATTTGCACATCATCTTTTGCACATCTATCATTCCAGTGTTATACGAAATTGTAACTATTTTGCACTATGGCCTACTTACTGCCTTACCTCCATAACTTACTACATTCGCACACACTGTTTATATATTTTCTGTTGTATTTTTGACTTTGTTTTGTTTACCCCATATGTAACTCTGTGTTGTTGTTTTTAATCGCACTGCTTTGCTTTATCTTGGCCAGGTCACAGTTGTAAATGAGAACTTGTTCTCAACTGGCTTACCTGGTTAAATAAAGGTGAAATAAAACAATTTAATAAAAAATAAACGCTGTATCCTCGCGTGCTGCAATTTCAGAATTTTCACCTGGATGACTGCCATTTCATAGCTCATTGATCTTTCTCTTCATGGAACAGTAAACAAATAACATTACCAAACAGTAGCAGTAGGAAACCTAAATGAATCACTGACTCCTGCTCTCCTCTGTCCCAGCAGCATATCATCCAAGTCATTTGGTAAATGTTCACGCAGTGAGCGAATACGTTCAAATCTAGAGTTTCTAGGACAGCTTTCCGGTCCCAGACTATTTTCCCCTCCTTGGGATTGTGGTTTGTTCCTTAGCAGGCAGAGACATGCTTTCTGCTGTCAATTTTTTTAACATGGAGCGTGTTTGGTCAGATAAGAGGAGATTGTGGGGGCAGCAGGAGAGAAGGAGGAGGCTGGTAGGAATGCAGGCAGCTCTCCCTGGTTCTCCTCTACAGGTCTATACTGGCTGCTGCTCCCTGGGCCCCAAGAATAACAGTCTGAAACAGACTGGATAACAAAACAACCCAGAGCCAGGAGAGCTGGAGCCTGAAGAGCTGTAGCCAGTGGCCAGCCCCTTGCCAGAGCACCTACCTGCTGTTGGGGCTGAGGTCCTGAGGTTGGTCGTGGGCTGAGGTCAGTTGGTCAGGCTGGTAGTGGAGGCTCAGGGTTTCTGAGTGGTGGGGCTGGGGAGAGTACTGCACCGAATGGGACCGCTGCCTCTGGCCTCCCAGATCCTCGTCTGAAACACACAGCGGAACAGAAGGAACTGTCATCGTCACAGCCTGCTAAAAGCTATGGGGATGCTACAGATGTGTACAGAGAGGTTTAGCTAATGTATGTATGATATAACGTCCGCAGCACTCACCATCGTCCAGAGTAAGACTGTTGGACAGTGAGCTGAGTTCAGCAAGGTTCATATCATCTGAGAAAAGGGGAGAAACGGAGGTTAACACATGCTCGCGTTGTTGGGCTTTTCATTAGAAGCCACATGTCCTGAAGTCTTCTTTCTTTCAGACTAGTACAGACAAGGTGCTGCAGGCAGGAATTCTAATATTCCTCTGTAAGCTACATTCACTATAAACCATGTTATCACTGTGACTGTATGCAATGTCTGGCTGTTGGTATGGCATGGTATAGGCTACCTGCTATGATTATTGATGCTCTCTGGGTGGGCTTCTTGCCCGTCCTGATCCTGTATTCGTTGATCTCCTCCTCAATCTCCTGCAGCTTCCTCATGGTATCCAGGCAGTTCCTCCTCCTCTTCTTCTTCACAGTCTTACAGAGCTCAGCCTCGTTGGCCAGTTTCTTGGCTGCCTCCACGATCTTCTGCTGCAGGGCAAACCTGCTCTCCAGGTTTCTGAGATGGGGATCCTGCAGGACAACACACAGTATAAACAGATGAGATTAGTAATTTACACACAGGCATGCAGATCAGTGCAAAGAGGATTTTCACAGGATAAAATAAGCATATTCATCACTAGAAATTCCTTATCCTGGCCGAATATAGAGAATGTACTCTATATATATTATTAAAATGTTGCATTACAATGTAAATTAAGTATTTAGATTTATTAGCCAAAAGAACACATATTTATGACAGCCAGTGCTCCCATCCTGTGACTGCCATACTAACCGCATCATAGGGGAAGAGGTCGTCCAGTTTGAAGGCTGTTCCCATGCGCCGACGCACCGCGGGGGGCTTTTCACCCGAGGCCAGAGGGTACTCTTTAGGCAGCCTGCCTGTCAGCTCCTGGAAAAACAAAAAGAGAACAATCAGCTGTGATAAAATCTACTTGAAATGATTTAATTCAATACCTTGAGACTGATGAAGATGCTTACAGCTTCTCGCAGGCAGATCTTCTTGAGCTCCTCCAGTTTCGGAGTCAAAGTGTCCTGCAGGTCCTTCTCTTTCTTCTTCAGGTCAGCAATCTTCTCCTTCTTCAGCTCCTCGCTCACCTCAGAGTCTCCTGACCCTGCATCAGGCAGACATTCTATTAAGACCATTATGACCACTTTAATCTCATCTAATCACCATTTGTCTTAATGGAGTCTATAGGACAGATATGTCCGTCAAGCATTGTCCGTTGTTAGCTCATTGTCAACCTGCTGAGATGAGGGATCCGTTGCTGGCCATGATGAGATGGTCTTTACTCTCCATGGTAAACAGCTTACTGATCCTGGGCACGCCGATCTCTGTCAGGTCCATGGCGATGTCACTCAAATTTCTGTCCGTGGTAACTTTGGACTGGAGAGAGGAAGAAGAAAGTTAAGAGACGGAGAAGGTAACAGTCACACATCAGTATTTCTTCTTAAATGACTGCGCCGCGAGATAACAGCCTTATTTGCATGCTTCAGTTCAGGCTGGGAGAGGAGCCCTCTCTCTCTCAGCACTATTCCTGGATGAGCACCATCTCCTTCTGAAAGGCTAAAAAACCCATCTGACTGCAGCCACACACACACTCATTCACCACCCTCGGAGCAACTATCCTCGCTCACACTCAGCTTGTGTAATGACAGTAATGCAAAGTAACCCACTAAAATATGCACCATCTAAACAAACGTGTCAAAAAATGGCCTTCCGTTGATTAATCAAATAGAGCAGCCGACATTAAATCAATAATCACCACAGCTATGCTTAGGCTATTCTAAGAATACTATAATATGCATAAGTTAAATGGGGCAGAGACATTAGGGCTGTCCCCAACAAAAAATAATCTTGGTCGACCAAGAGTCGTCGGTTCTTTCGACCAATCGATTGGTCGAAACGCTAAAATGTGTATTGTTCCATATATACACACATTCTATGTGTTTTAATCAAATCAACTACAATTGAAGTCGGAAGTTTACATACACCTTAGCCAAATACATTTAAACTCAGTTTTTCACAATTCCTGACATTTAATCCTAGTACAAATTCCCTGTCTTAGGTCAGTTAGGATCACCACTTTATTTTAAGAATGTGAAATGTCAGACAGTAGAGTAGAGAGAATGATTTCTTTCAGCTTTTATTTATTTCATCACATTCCCAGTGGGTCAGAAGTTTACATACACTCAATTAGTATTTGGTAGCATTGCCTTTAAATTGTTTAACTTGGGTCAAACGTTTTGGGTAGCCTTCCACAAGCTTCCCACAATAAGTTGGGTGAATTTTGGCCCATTCCTCCTGACAGAGCTGGTGTAAGTGAGTCAGGTTTGTAGGCCTCCTTGCTCGCACACGCTTTTTCAGTTCAGCCCACACATTTTCTATAGGATTGAGGTCAGGGCTTTGTGATGGCCACTCCAATACCTTGACTTTGTTGTCCTTAAGCCATTTTGCCACAACTTTGGAAGTATGCTTGGGGTCATTGTCCATTTGGAAGACCCATTTGCGACCAAGCTTTAACTTCCTGACTGATGTCTTGAGATGTTGCTTCAATATATCCACATAATTTTCCTTCCTCATGATGCCATCTATTTTGTGAAGTGCACCAGTCCCTTCTGCATCAAAGCACCCCCACAGCATGATGCTGCCACCCCCGTGCTTCACGGTTGGGATGGTGTTCTTCGGGTTGCAAGCCTACCCCTTTGTCCTCCAAACATAACGATGGTCATTATGGCCAAACAGTTATATTTTTGTTTCATCAGTCCAGAGGACATTTCTCCAAAAAGTACGATCTTTGTCCCCATGTGCAGTTGCAAACCGTAGTCTGGCTTTTTTGTGGCGGTTTTGGAGCAGTGGCTTCTTCCTTGCTGAGCGGCCTTTCAGGTTATGTCGATATAGGACTCGTTTATATAGATACTTTTGTACCTGTTTCCTCCAGCATCTTCACAAGGTCCTTTGCTGTTGTTCTGGGATTGATTTACACTTTTCGCACCAAAGTACGTTCATCTCTAGGAGACAGAACGCGTTTCCTTCCTGAGCGGTATGACGGCTGCGTGGTCCCATGGTGTTTATACTTGCGTACTATTGTTTGTACAGATGAACGTGGTACCTTCAGGCGTTTGGAAATTGCTCCCAAGGATGGACCAGACTTGTGGAGGTCTACAATTCTTTTTCTGAGGTCTTGGCTGATTTTTGATTTTCCCATGATGTCAAGCAAAGAGGCACTGAGTTTGAAGGTAGGCCTTGAAATACATCCACAGGTACACCTCCAATTGACTCAAATGATGTCAATTAGCCTATCAGAAGCTTCTAAAGCCATGACATCATTTTCTGGAATTTTCTGGAATCTGTCTGTAAACAATTGTTGGAAAAATTACTTGTGTCATGCACAAAGTAGATGTCCTAACTGTCTTGCCAAAACTATAGTTTGTTAACAAGAAATTTGTGGAGTGGTTGAAAAACGAGTTTTAATGACTCCAACCTATGTGTATGTAAACTTCCGACTTCAACTGTATATGCACTGAACTTGTCTGATGCTTTAAGCGAACTGTTTGATTAAATAATTAAGACACAAATTACTAGAGGGAGTCCGGCGGGGGAATGTTCACTCGTTGCCCAGGAGGTAAAGGGGAAGTCAGATGTGGGGAATACATTTGACTAGTTTTTTGGACAATTTGAAAAAGTGTAAACAACACTAAATAAGTTATAAATAATACCAGAGGGTGGTCTAACGAAAAAATTTGTAAAGCCTTTATTACAGCATAGCAAAGATTTTAAAAAGCTGAATTTGTGAAATTGTTTATCCGACATGTTCTGGTTGCGTGAGGCTTGGTGCTCACAGAATCAGTAGGCTATTAAACAAACATTCAAAACAGGCAACAGAAGCAGGATCCGTCTTATTTCTGTAGATATATATGGATGATTTATAAAGCCAGGCACATTTAACAGTTAGGCTATTGATTATAGACCTAATTACGTTGGGGTTTCCTCTCCTCACTATTCTTAGACAATTAAGGCAAGGGCTGTTTTCTCATCTTCTTACTCTGCTGCTGCCTCCGCCACATTGTTCTCAACACCAATATGCTGGTTAACTTTGCTATTATGTACATAGCAACATGGTCTAGGAAAAGGCGCCAATTCACCAGCGCACTGATCTTTTTCAGAACAGCAAGCATTTGTTATAAAATAATATTTTGTATTTGTGTTGCACCATTGTTCTTACATAATATAACCATATACAATTTCAGTAGCACATGTCTTTGATTGACTGTGCCATCCCCATGGCCTCCACAATGGATCAGTCCACTCAGACAGGCACCAATCACAGTTGTCTTGTACACCATGATTTAAAAAAACTTTTTTTTCTACTGCTCGACTAAACAAATCTTGCTTATCTTAAACAGCTTATCGACCAAACAATCGACAAAATGGGGTCAGCCATAAGAGACATTAGCAAACAGAGGAGTAAAGGTTAAGACAAGGACAGGAGCAATCAGATGTGGAGTGAGTGAGAGAGAGTGTGGTGGCGGTGACAAGGCCCTGATAAGGCTAGGAACAACACAGAGACACAGATGCAGGTAACGGGATGAGGGTAGGAGAAGAGCAGTAGTGCTGTGTTGCTGACACACTCACTTTGCTCTGCTTCCTGTCCAAATAGAACTGGTGCTGACTGATGGCCATCACCCAGATGGTCTTAATCAGAGAGTGGCTGGCATACCATGTGTGGATGACCAATCCAGTCTGCCCGAATGTACGTCTGGAAACTGTCCTTCTGTGGATTAACAGAGATGACAGATAGACACACAGACACAGTTTTAATCCCTCATGTTACTGCTAGGTAGGAGTAATTTAATCTCTTTAATCCAGACTGACAACACAACAAGTGAATACCTGGATATCTAACTATAGATACACTTTTAATAACATGATGGGTATTGATATCAGAATCATACACAATCAGGGATTAGAAAACAATTACTTGCATAAACTAACCCAATGTCCAAATTTATCTCATGACTGGCTCTGTAATTCAATACATTGATGGGGGAGAGATGCAGCAACATTAAGTCGGTGTTGCACCAGAGATTTTTAATTCCAGCCAAGGTGGCTAGCAGCACCATATTAAACCTGTGATACAGCACTGAGGCTGGAAGTGCTGCAATGTCCTGAGAACACTAACTGCAGCAGTCCTTTACAGCAAGAAGGAAGGCCTTCATTTGACACTAGCAAGATATTGTATTGGAGACAGCTCATTGACACTAGGCTCTGAAATTACACCTGTTGTTATGATTCAGAAAGGCTAGGATCAGAATAGAAGACGACTGATTCCTGGGTCAAGTTCAGTAGGCACAAAACATTTTGAGGTGCTAAAGGAACTGGCCCTTCAGAACACGACCCAGGATCGCTATATGCATCCAGTGTCTGTTCCATCTCACCTGTCAGGGTCGTTCACCTCTACAGCAAATTTCTTCTCACGGAAATATAAATTCTCCAGCTGCTTCCACTGAAACAACTGCAGACAGAGAGAGAAAACAGGACACACCACTTAGTAAATAGTACACTGGACCATGCCTTGTTTGAGTGAGTGGCAGACCTAGAGAGAGATGTGGTTTGATACATCGCTGCAGGAGAACAAACATTTACATCCTTATTTATTCCAAACGGCTTGATGCATCCAATGTGTGGACCATCTAAACTCAAAGACAATGCCACTAGCATGGAAAGACACTAGTTTTGTCCCAGATACACCAGCCCTTCTCTTGCAACATTAACAATAACAGCAGCCTCAGCAGCAGCTGTGAACAGAGGACAGCCACTCAGTCAGGTGGAATTTAGTTACTACTCAGTAGTGAAGCCAGTGTAGCGAGCAAGACTTGCCTAGCAAGAAGCCTCTCATTTCATTCTGCCCTGGAGGGAGAGCACTGAAAACAGGACAAGGAGGAGTGGGGTATTTTAGAGATGGCGCCGGAGAAGATGGCTTCCATTTTACAGCCCTCTAACCAATTGTACTATTGTGTGTTTTTTCGCGTTATTTGTAATTTATTCTGTACATAATGTTTCTGCCATCGTCTCTTATAACCAAAAAGAGCTTCTGGATATCAGGACAGCCATTACTCACCTCGTATTGAAAGGAAAAACAATTATTCAACAAGTCGGACGCGAAGGATATCCTACAGACACCTGACAAGGCCCAAATCCCTGTCATTCGCAGAAGAAAGAGACGGAGATATCGTGGACGTAGGTCGGGGTGCCTTGTAAGGATCCGACGGCGAGCGAGTAAACTGCCTCTTCCATCAATCCTATTAGCCAATGTTCAAACATTTGAAAATTAATTAGATTACCTACAATTACGGTTATCCTACCAACGGGACATTAAAAACTGTAATATCTTGTGTTTCATCGAGTCGTGGCTGAACGACGACATGGACAACATAGAGCTGATGGGATATACGCTACATCGGTAGGATAGAACGGCTGACTCCGGTAAGACAAGGGGTGGCGGTCTGTGTATATTTGTAAACAACAGCTGGTGCACAAAATCAAATACTAAGGAAGTCTCAAGGTTTTGCTCTTATGATAAGCTGTAGACCACACTATTTACCAAGAGAGTTTTCATCTATATTTTTCATAGCTGTCTATTTACCACCACAAACCAATGCTGGCATTAAGATTGCACTCAATGAGCTGTATAAGGCCATAAGTAAACAGGAAAACGCTCATCCAGAGGCAGCGCTCCTAGTGGCCGGGGACTTTAATGCAGGGAAACTTAAATCCGTTCTACGTAATTTCTACCAGCATGTTAAATGTGCAACCAGAGAAAAAATAATAATAATAATATATATATATATATATATATATATAAATATAACTCTATACCACCTTTACTCCACACACAGAGATGCATACAAAGCTCTCCCTCGCCCTCCATTTGGCAAATCTGACCATAACTCTATCCTCCTGATTCCTGCTTATAAGCAAAAACTAAAGCAGGAAGCACCAGTGACTTGGTTAATAAAAAAGTGGTCAGATGACGCAGATGCTAAGCTACAGGACTGTTTTGCTAGCACAGACTGGAACATGTTCCGGGATTCTTCAGATAGCATTGAGGAGTACACCACATCAGTCACTGGCTTCATCAGTAAGTGCATCGATGACGTCGTCCCCACAGTAACCGTACGTACATACCCCAACCAGAAGCCATGGATTACAGGCAACATCCGCACTGAGCTAAAGGGTAGAGCTGCCGCTTTCAAGGAGTGGGACTCTAACCCGGACGCTTATAAGAAATCCCACTATGCCCTCAGACGAACCATCAAACAGGCAAAGAGTCAATACAGGACTAAGATTGAATCGTACTACACCGGCTCTGCGGCTCTGACGCTTGTCGGATGTGGCAGGGCTTGAAAACTATTACAGACTACAAAGGAAAGCACAGCCGCGAGCTGCCCAGTGACACAAGCCTACCAGACGAGCTAAACCACTTCTATGCTCGCTTCGAGGCAAGCAATACTGAAGCATGCATGAGAGCACCAGCTGTTCCGGATGACTATGTGATCACGCTCTCCGTAGCCGAAGTGAGTAAGACTTTTAAGCAGGTCAACATTCACAAGGCCGCAGGGCCAGACGGATTACCAGGACGTGTACTCCGAGCATGTGCTGACCAACTGGCAAGTGCCTTCACTGACATTTTCAACATGTCCCTGACTGAGTCTAATACCAACATGTATCAAGCTGACCACCATAGTCCCTCTGCCAAAGGACTCTAAGATAACCTGCCTAAATGACTACCAACCCGTAGCACTCACGTCTGTAGCCATGAAGTGCTTTGAAAGGCTGGTCATGGCTCACATCAACACCATTATCCCAGAAACCCTAGACCCACTCCAATTTGCATACCGCCCCAACAGATCCACAGATGATGCAATCTCTATTGCCCTCCACACTGACCTTTCCCACCTGGACAAGAGGAACACCTACGTGAGAATGCTATTCATTGACTACAGCTCAGCGTTCAACACCATAGTGGCCTCAAAGCTCATCACTAAGCTAAGGATCCTGGGACTAAACACCTCCCTCTGCAACTGGATCCTGGACTTCCTGACGGGCCGCCCCCAGGTGGTAAGGGTAGGTAACAACACATCTGCCACGCTGATCCTCAACACGGGGGCCCCTCAGGGGTGCGTGCTTAGTCCCCTCCTGTACTCCCTGTTCACCCATGACTGCATGGCCAGGCACGACTCCAACACCATCATTAAGTTTGCCGACGACACAACAGTGGTAGGCCTGATCACCGACAACGATGAGACAGCCTATAGGGAGGAGATCAGAGACCTGGCCGTGTGGTGCCAGGGTAACAACCTCTCCCTCAACGTGACCAAGACAAAGGAGATGATTGTGGACTACAGGGAAAAAAAAAAAGAGGACTGAGCACGCCCCCATTCTCATCGACGGGGCTGTAGTGTCCACATCGCCAACAAACTATCATGGTCCAAACACACCAAGACAGTCGTGAAGAGGGCACAACAAAGCCTATTCCCCCGCAGGAGACTGAAAAGATTTGGCATGGGTCCTCAGATCCTCAAAAAGTTCTACAGCTGCACCATCGAGAGCATCCTGACTGGTTGCATCACCGCCTGGTATGGCAACTACTCGGCCTCCGACCGCAAGGCACTACAGAGGGTAGTGCGTACAGCCCAGTACATCACTGGGGCCAAGCTTCCTGCCATCCAGCACCTCTATACCAGGCGGTGTCAGAGGAAGGCCCTCAAAATTGTCAAAGACTCCAGCCACCCTAGTCAGACTGTTCTCTCTGCTACCGCACGGAAAGCAGTACCGGAGCGCCAAGTCTAGGTCCAAAAGGCTTCTCAACAGCTTCTACCCCCAAGCCATAAGACTCCTGAACAGCTAATCATGGCCCCCACCCCCCACCCCACTTTAACTCTACCCACATGTACATATTACCTCAACTAGCTGGTGCCCCCGCACATTGACTCTGCACCGGTACCCCCCTGTATATAGCCTCCCTACTGTTATTTTATTTTACTTCTGCTCTTTTTTTTCTCAACACTTTTTTGTTGTTGTTTTATTTTACTTTTTTTTTTAAATAAAAAATGCTTTGTTGGTTAAGGGCTGTAAGTAAGCATTTCACAGTAATGTCTACACCTGTTTTATTCGGCGCATGTGGCAAATAAAATGATTTAGTGAGATTTGGAGCTCTTTTCCCTGAGAGCGAGGGACTCTCCCCTGGTCTGGCTGAGTGAGAATCCACCACTAGCGTCAGAGTCTGGGGGTGTAGATTTATGGCAGAGGGATTTAATAAACATTCTCTACCAGGTACTGGCAAGCCAGGCAGACAGCCAGAGCTCTAAATAATAGAACACATTACCCTGGACTACAGAGGAATATGGGTAATATATCATGGACTACCTACAGTCCTCAGCGACAAATCTAAACGATCTCACAAGCAGCCCAGCCCATGATACTGTGTACTGCTTTTTTTTTTTTTCACTCCTCTTCCCCTATGATCTGAGAACTGATTTTAGTACATTGAAGTCTTGGTAAAAATGTTAATAACACAATAGGAATCTTATTCTTCCAAACAGGTTCTACATGTTTCCAGTATAGTATATACCTCAGTCACTGCTTTACAACTGTGGATTGGACAGCACGTTAACATACAATTACGTACAGGTAACCCAAAAACAGAATGACAACAACAACTCAACTGAATATATCCTGAACTACCTAGTCAGGTAAATGGGGGCTTACCAGAGCAGGTTTTAGTGCTTTTTAAATCCCTGGTGAATTATCAGGGTGGTATTGAATCCTCTGGCCAAGTTTCCCACAGGGCTAGAGCGTCCTTGAACAATACGCTCATCTGTTCTCAGGCAGCCAGATAGGTGTTGCAAGAGTTTCAGCTGAGCAGGCTCCACCTCTCTCCCCCCACCCCCTCTGACATCACAGACACCTCACTGACCTCACTCACCTTGCACCGCTCTGCTCCCTCTCCTTTCCTCATGAATTCTCTCTGTGCAACTCACTCCTTCTCTCACAATCTTCCTCCTCAGTCAAACCAGATGAACAAGTTGTACACGGACTACACACACAGAGAGGTATTCAACCTCCTCTCCTCTTCTGGGAAGAGACCATTATGACCCCCTTTCTTTCAGTATGTAACCCTTCATCCACAGATCTTAGATTAGCCCTCCACAGTCATAATCCTTAGTACCTCCATTACCCTCTGTGATGTGTTATCTGGGTTCTAAATACCATGCCAACCCCTGTTGTTTAGAGTGCTATCAACTCCAGCCTCCCACCGCTTCCCATCCAAATATTTCAGGAATCTACTACTTTGGTCTAATCATTAATAGCGGGCCCCTCTTCACCTCCCTGTGAATCCAGGACAGCTCTCGGTCAGCTCTCAGAACTAGGCCCTAGCTGACAAGGAATAATCTCTCACTACACCTCTAAAGTCAGTTATTAAAACCAGAAAACCAAACTATCACAAGGTAGTCTTCAATGGAAAATGTAAAACAGAATATCTGCAACTGACAAAGCAAATGCTGCAGCCAATAACAGTGTATTAGGTATCAATGTTTCATAAAATGTTACTTCATACTTTAAGTAAAGTGATCCAGACTGTTTCTCCATTGCTGCTCCAGCCAATACTGCAAGCCTAATCAATTAGATCCCCAGTCTCACTGTGGATTGGGAACATGGTATTTACTGAACAATGGGAACCAGCAGACTCCACACTTTCCACAGGCTCACCCCATTGTGTGGGACACCCCTCTCTAATTCACAAACCCCCTGGATACTTACTACTACAGCACATTCAGAAAATAAACAGATAACAACATTTACATAACTAGGTCATTAGACCATTTCCACACACACAAAACCCTATTAATGAGTGAGCACTAACCATGTATGGCCGATGGTAGTAAGTGCCAAAATATGTCAAGGATATGTGACACACCTTTAACTCTGATCACAAGACCCCACTTACTATCTGGACAGAGGAAACAGTCCAAGCCAGTGCTTCTAAACATCCTTGCACAGAAACCACCACCAAAACTAAACATGAGGTGAAAATGGTAGAAAGATAGTTCAGTCATCTGGAGAACAGAACAGTAGTTCCCCATCTCGGTCTCATTTATTTAAGATGTTAGCGGTTTCACTTCTCATTAGAGCCCATGCCAAAATGCCTGTGGTTTGAGATATTCCCAGAACATTCTGATGCAGACCCAACCCTGAACCCACAACAACCTCCCCAGACACCCCAGGCCCTGTGACATGACGGAGGAATCCTCTGAGGAGGATAAAAAAATGTGTCAAAGGTCAGGACTCACACGCAGGAAGAGCACCACCACACCCTTCTCATACAGTCACATGGCACGCTGGTTCACTGAACATTTCCAGTAGAGGCATGACGAGAGAGATTGCTACAGTCGACTACAAACACAAGCATTAATTAAGGCTCTGGTTTTAACCCATTATATACTGGTGTGAAATAAATGTGAAGAGGGCTTGTTAGGAATGGATCTGCATGGTCCACTGCCACAGCTAGCCTTTGATTTTAGCACCTTTTTAAATATTTGAGCAGCCTTTTACTGTGCCAAGATAACAATTAAGGGTCTAATCATATGATTATTACCATTACAGAAATGATTTTATCCTTACTGAGCTGTGCTTACTTTGGTTTTATTGGTTGACCATATAACTGGACCTGCAAGTGATTATAATACAAGTAAGTGTCAAATTACTTGCTGATAAGAGGAAGAGAGAGATGGACTGAAACAGACAGACAGAGAGACAGAGCGAGAGAGAGGGAGATCACTCTCTATATCATGACCATCCTCAGACTGACTATCTTAGAAATACCTTTTTCATTTATAGTACAGCCTTTGTATAAAATGTGGTGCTCTAGCATACATTTTATTCTCCTTTATGGTCTTCGGTCCTATACCCATTCAAATGCACACTTTCTCTTCCTTCCCCCATAGTCATGGTCCATCTATGGTTAAATCTGAACAAGCAGACTATCTGAATGACATGTTGGTTACTTTTGAGATTTTGGAAAAAGCCCCAGTTCTCTTTTACCCAACAGGCAGGGATAGGGAGTTGTGGTTCATCCTATTCATTAAGTTGTAATAAAGCTGACATCCATGATGAGGAGGATAATGACAGCTTAAGCTACAGTAGCTTCTTTCAGGGCATGTCACTGAACTCTGGGAAAACCTCACTTTTAAAAGCCTTTTCATCCCGACTCCCCAAGATTCCTCACGGGACGATTGGAGTGCTGCAGTGGGATCCTCTTTCTGCAGACCCCCTCAACCCCCCTTCCAAGCCCCTCACACCCTCCCCAAGCTTCCCACAGCCCCCCTGCCAAGGTGATTGTGTTTTATTGCTTGATCAATTGTTTGCTCTCCGAGAGACACACACACCAATGACAGGCAGCTTTGCATAATGAGCGCGGCATGCTGGGAGAAGGGCGGGGGGGGGGGCTGCACTGAATACAAAGGTCTCCAACCTTGACAGGAAGAACTATCAATATTCTACCAGATGACAGGCCCCTCTAGAACAGCAACAAGAGTTGTGCACGTTAAAAAAAAAGCATATTACAAAAGTCCACCGTTTCACCAGGTCTGCTGAGGAGGAGTTTTGGCATGAGTGCTCCCTCCCTCCATGTGTGGTGGGTTGGCCTGGGTAGAGCATAGCTCTCTCAGAGCTGAGCCCCTCACAGAGACAGCCCAGGCTGGCTTGGTGCCGGCTCTTCCAGCATCAGAGCCCTGCCTGCCTGCTCCCCATGGCGCACCATAATTACACCTTCCACTGGGAGGGCTGCTGAGAAAGGAGCTGGGATACGCTGGGTTTAATACATGGGACATGCCCATTAATGCCTTGGCATTCACTGCAACAGCACACCCAGCTGTGTCAACAGGGATACAACATGGGAACAGGTAAGAGACATAGTAAATGAAGCTGGTGGAGGAAAACACACGAGACTAAAACGTTTATTTTTTACCTCAACCGCCATTTAAGGCCAAAACTGTAACTTTAGGTTTCATATTTGGAATCACAGTCAAGGTTATTTCAATCACACCCTAAATGAGGACTGCCACAATCTTATCACCATAATCTAGATACCATCACACCCACGTTGATAACAACTTTCCCTCCCTTTACCCTGGCCAAGAACACAAGCTTTTTGTTGCCATTATTTACAGTTTGGTGGATTATTAACCAGAGTGGGGCTGGTTGTTCAGTTAGACCATAAGGAGAAACAAGTCACCGAAGGCCAACCTACCTTCCGAGGTTTCAACTTGTCCTGTAAATCGTACTGTCCGATGCCTTTATAGCTGACTCCCAGCCACCACGGCAGGCCCTGCTTGTCCTGTTGGGAAGGCAAGGCATGGCACACCACTCATTAGGAGCAGCTTGAGTGGTACATTTAAAAAAGAAGAACAGGCCATTACTGTGGCAATTACGCCATTAGGCTAGCAGCACAAGGAGAGATCAATTGCATTGAAGCAGCCCTAAAAAGCCACAGACCGAGTCATTTTAACAGCAGCGTTTGATGTGCTCAGACACCCTGCTTTAATGAGTGAGGTAGGAGAGTTGGGCTGACGCTCTGGGAGAGAGAGAGTTGCTGAGAGAAGGATCATTCAATCATTAGTTTACTAAGCATGGAGCCAGAGCAAACACCCAGCTTAAGTCCCTGTCCAGCCTCCAGAGGGAAAACAACTGTATTTCTATCTGAACACTCTACTTTTTTATAATTTAAAAAAAGTTTAGTTAGATGGGAAAGCAAACATGAAAACAAATGTACAGATGTTTGATGCTTCCTACTGTAAGATACAGGGTTGCTTTTTTCTTACCTTTACTGGATAATAATGGACTCCATATGTAGGGAGGGACTCCACTAAGGCCAAATACCTTCAAAACAGAGTGGGACACATTAGCAGTAATTCAGGCAGTTACACTTCATCAACGTCTGTGAGTGGCTGCTCTACAGAAGTTTGAATGGGCTTTAAGCCCCAGTCAGTCATTCACCAGACACAATCACTTACAGTGGCGGAGCCATCGATTTCTTTACAGGGCCTTGGAGAATCCATTGATCAAGTAAAGGGCACAAATCATACAGCCGAGTATAAATGACCTTGCTAGGCTAAGCTCTCCCAGGGAAAACACAGTGGATCTCTGTCACACACTGCTGGCTGCCCACAGTATAGTAAGAGTTAGCTGTCCCCTAATTAATGACACATTCTGGCAGCGTGACAGCAATCCCTTTTAAATAGCAGGAGTAGACGCTACAGAGGACTGCAGAGTGTGTTGGACTGATGAACGTGCTGAACTAGAGGTACACAGCAGCTCATTTCCTCCATGCACTTGACCCAGATTAACATAAAAATGACAATTTATTACGTTACTTACTGCACAATGGCTTGCCCTCTGCTGAGGCCCTTCAGGTTCTCATAGTGCTCGATCACTCTGTCTTCACTGTAATAGAGAAAAATAAAAGCCATAATGAATAAGCCATCACTGATTGTAACATATCCCCAAACAGAAAAAAGTGGTGAGACGGTCCTTCCCTGACACACATTCTGCCTGTTCATGCAGAGAATTCTGTCTGGCCTACTGGCCTGACCATAGTTCTCATCTCCCTCTCAGCTCACACACACAACCCATCTGCTCTCTCACACACACACACACACACACACACACACACACACACACACACACACACACACACACACACACAACCCTGTAATTCCAATCTGCCCATTAATCCATACAGCTGCTGTTGGGCTGGGCTGCAGCCTCAGATGAATGCTGAGGCAGAAGAACAAGATGCAGCAGCATGCACTCAGACAGACACAGGAGCTGTTAACCAGTGGCTGGCCTGGCCGTCTGCCTCCCTCCCTCCCTCCCTCCCTCTCCTGCCTAACCCAGCTCCCATGAGGACATGATGAAGTCAGCACCACCCTGGCTGTTCATGGTGCAGCCAGACGTAATTAACACAGAGCACTAATTAATACAGCCCATCTGAGATAAACAGCCTGGCAGGACTCTGGGTGCACCTCCACCTCTCTGCCCACACCAGCTCATCTGCATGGGAAAATAATTGCTTTGTGCATCCAGTTGTTAGCTACAATTAAAAAGCAATTTGATAGGGATAGGGACGGTGTGAGGGGAGGAGTGGTATTGACAGGACTGCGGTCTGGTATCTATGGGACTGTGTGTAATCCACTTGGATTAATACCCCCTGTGCATTTGTGGTTAAAGTGTTGCTAATGTGGCACTGCTTACCAGTATACCAGGGAGGGGTGCTCCCTCAGGACTCTAGTGGGTAAAACCGGGAGCTTCTTCAGGTCCGACCTGGAGCTTTCAACACTGTAAACACATAAGGATTGAAAAATAATGATCAACTGAATTAATTCACAAGAACAGTAATCTCCAATAGGGCCAGGAGGAATTTTAAAGCTCCATAATAATAACACTGCTGATTGATCAAAAGTTCTTATTACTGTCATTATACTGTCATACCGTCATTACACTGTTATACTGTCATTACAGTTATTAGACTGTCATTACCCGGTCATACCGTTATTACACTGTCATTACCGTTATTAGACTGTCATTACACTGTATAATTACTAGTCTAGATCTCCATGATGACCATCTCTGAGTTCAATAAACCCCTATATCCAATAATGACCCCAAATGAGTTCTACAGAGCAGAACACAGGGGACAGAGATCATATGAAATATCAATGTTCAAATATTGTACAAATTGTTATTGATGCATTTGTGGTTTTACAGAACAGGTAACTCCCCACGTCGTATAGCATGAAAGTGATAACTAACTAACTAAAAATAAAATCATATTTTTTATCTGGCAGGCTATTGATGCTTCCTAACAGACTAGGCTTAATATCCACTTATGTCTTGCCAAAGTGCCTCAAATAGAAACAGATAAAAACCTGTTTAACAGAGGAAATTGAAATATAGTTATATCATGTCAAGGAGCCTTTCAAGAATGGGCTGGTAATTATGACTCATGAGTAAATGTTTTTCAATGTTCTCACATGTACATACATTATTTGAGGTTGGTGTGTACAGTACAGGCGTTGACCTCAATCTTTGCATGCCAGTGCAAAGAGTGAGACATAGTCCTACCATATGTCATTTTCCATACCATTTCCTAAACACACAATTAAGACCTAATTTAATCATAAATGCAACAGGTACCTCAAGTCAGGAGGTGATCTAATACACAGCAATAAAATATTATCTCTCTGTACTAACTGTGTTGTATGTCACTGTCAAGGTCTGTGATAGTGAACTATGAGTCACTCCAACACATGAGGGGGGAGCATTTGCTCTACAATTACTGATCGACAAAGAGGGCTATGACTTGGTAGGCCAGAGCACTGGAGCCCGGAACAAAAGCCATTCACCAGTTTTGGCAGCCCATGCAGTGTTGAAAGGTACTGTACAACTCACAGAGGAGAGCTTTTCAAAAATAGGACTTGGCCTCTCAGACAAGACTCAGACCAGTAGATCCTTCATATCTGTATCATGTTCTAAAATACTGGGACAACATAGTATACTTATGTTTTGGTCTTTTTTCATTGCCACTATTTGATGTAATAACTAATGAAGAAAATCAACAAAAGAGAAAGAAACTACAAAGCATGAGCTGAACTTTTTCAAATATCTCACTTGCAGTTTCTCAATGATCTCCAAAGTGAAATGAAAAAAGCTAAACAATCCTTAGAATGCAGAGGCCATAATGATCTAGTAATATGAACCTGCTCACTCCACAGAAAGGTGAAACACTACAGAGAGAAAGCCACTTTAATCATTGCTCCCTAGCTAGCTGCCTCTCTGAAGTGCACTAGTCTCTGCAGTTCACTGCTATGGAGTTTGATGGCAAACATTTTATAGGGCGCTGGGGCTGGTGTTGCCCTGTCAGCAACCTGGAATTCATTACGATGTCTGTTATCCTCCTGCGACGTGGGCTGGGGGCAACTCTTCCACCTTGCCAGCTAGCGAGGGTGTAGGCTAAACACTCATACAATATGTCAGCTATTTTAGTGGGCTGATAGTTGGTCACTGTTAAGGAAATGCAAAGAAAGAGACCAGGGGATCCCCATAGCTGTGAAATTCCCAGTAAAAGCAGGTTGTATCTACATTTGAGTGAGTGAATCGACAGTGTAGCCTATAGGCATAATGTATTATACTTAGAACATTTAACTGGGATGTGACATAATCATCAGCTGAAAAGTACTACGTGGTGATATTACACTGCATAACATTTAAAAGGTACAAGCATAACCCCCAGGCAACATGTTTTTATTCTCCTATATGCACATGATCCCAATGAACATGCAAAATCAATCCAAGGCTAGAGGCACAACAGGAAAAGATAAAGTGATAGCTCAGCAGGGGCCGGCTTTGACTACAGAGAGATGACATCACAATGGTTAGTACCTGACGCCTGGCAGTCTACCGTGGGCCAGTGAGGTCTGCACTCCTAAAGCTCAACCCTTTTAGAACAGGCTATACATTGGAGGGGGGGCTCCCTAACTCCATACATCCTCCACATCTAATCTCAGAGCTACAGGGCCATTTGCAATGTGTGTCTAGAGCAGCATGTTTGAGAGGATTTGCCAACCTTACTCATCCAAAAGATAGAAATGAAAACCATCAGAGAGGAAAAATATGTATTAGCCTAAAAACAACCCAGGAGAGAGTAGGCTGGGCTATATAGTTGGACAGGCTCCCATCCACACTGACAGACTCTGTTTCATTGTGCTTTCAGTCAGGACAAAGTGCAGCTGAAACATTAACTGACGTAGCTGCCTGACACCTCAGGGCTAAACAATCTGAAAACGCACCCCTAATATACTGCAACACAAAGCTGTGAAGGGCATCACTGGGCAGTCAATACTATACAATAACCATGAACTTAAGCTTGCCCAAAAAAACAGGTGCTGCTGAAATTAGAGTTTTTGAGAGTACAAAGATAGGACCTTGACGTAGAAACAAACTGCATTTTAAGCATAAAATATCACGGTGTGCATTCACACCATACAATTCCTTACAGAGCAGAGCAAAGCTTTGTATTCAGATAGGCCTGATGCCCAGGGGCCTCTAGGAGACCCAAGCTGGGGAAAACACCCCACAGGTTCAGCCATATAACCTGCTCAGTGCTCGTCCACTCTGACGGACAGGACAATATTTTCTGATTACCTCAGCCCTCTCTTCTCCACCTGACGACTAAAATAACAAACCTTATCACCAGGTCAAGCCTTTCAGTGGCTTATCTCTCCACCAAAACACATTAGGCCTAGTAAAAAAATAATATATATATATCAAAAGCTATTGGGTTTCTACCAAAAGTTGCAAAGAAAATGTTGTGGTCTATTTAATAAACACAAGAGACCAGCAAAATGGATAAAAGGGTGTGGTGGCAGTAGCAGGAACAGCAGCATCTAGTGGGCAGAACTTGGTACTTTCACATTAACATGCTGACCACACCGCTCGCGTTACTTGCGCGAGCGTTGCAAAATAAATGTAACCATACATGTTATTCAATCATTGCATCTAAACTGCTCGTGCACGTCAACAAGTGTCTGCGTAGCCAGGCACTCAAATAGAACTTGGTTCTATTTGTCACGCTTGATGCGCTGCAAGTCCCACCTCTCCCATCTCCTCATTGGTTTTTAGGAGCATATACCCACGTGGGTGATTGAAAGATGAACTGAGGTCCACACTCCAGTCCAGTTAGTGGTGGTAATGCACCTTAAAGTTGGTTGCCAATCGCCATATAAAGTCCAAAGAAGAAGAAGAAGACTGAAGGAGGAGAGATTACTAGAAACTAACTCGGTTTACCCTTTTATCTGTGGATTAATTGTCGGAGTAAAGGAGTTCAGGTAAAATAACAACCCAATGTTTTTATCCCAGGACAAATTAGCTAGCAACAGCAAGTTGTCCTAATCCAGGCACTTGTCATCTCCCGTCTGGATTACTGCAACTCGCTGTTGGCTGGCCTCCCTGCCTGTGCCATTAAACCCCTACAACTCATCCAGAATGCCGCAGCCCGTCTGGTGTTCAACCTTCCCAAGTTCTCTCACGTCACCCCCCTCCTCCGCACACTCCACTGGCTTCCAGTTGAAGCTCGCATCCGTTACAAGACCATGGTGCTTGCCTATGGAGCAGTGAGGGGAACGGCACCTCCGTACCTTCGGGCTCTGATCAGTCCCTACACCCAAACGAGGGCATTGCGTTCATCCACCTCTGGCCTGCTGGCTCCCCTTCCTCTGCGGAAGCATAGTTCCCGCTCAGCCCAGTCAAAACTGTTCGCTGCTCTGGCACCCCAATGGTGGAACAAGCTCCCTCACGACGCCAGGACAGCGGAGTCACTCACCACCTTCCGGAGACATTTGAAACCCCACCTCTTTAAAGAATACCTGGGATAGGATAAAGTAATCCTTCCACCCCCCCCCCCCCCCCCAAAAAAAAAAAGAAAAAAAAAGAAAAAAGTGTAAAGTGGTTATCCCACTGGCTATAGGGTGAATGCACCAATTTGTAAGTCGCTCTGGATAAGAGCGTCTGCTAAATGACGTAAATGTGCCCTTGAGCAAGGCACTTAACCCTAATTGCTCCTGTATGTCGCTCTGGATAAGAGCGTCTGCTAAATGACTAAAATGTAAATGTAAGTTTGTAATGTTTAATGCTTTTCGACTTGTCCCCAAATTAATATAGTTGGTTTAGAGTTTGTTTTGATATTTCAACCTGCGTGTCCTGCAATGGCTAATTTCTCTGAACAGGGGAAGAAAACCATCACCAGATTTACAGGGAATACATTACAAAGGTTGAAGAAGCAATACCCCAAGCAGCAGCTCCATACTACTTGTCAGACAGAGAACTGATACCGTATACTGGTTGTTGGTGTGAGGGATCTGTGGGTGGCTATTGATCATTTTATTGGATTCCTCATGTCTTACTCATTGTTAGGAAGAATTATGGTTCAAATCAGATGTTAGGTACTATATTTATTGAAGATTATAAGAATCCTATGGATTAAAATGGCCAATTTGGGTGAAATCAATTCACTTAATTTCTCAGATAAAATGATATTTAAACAAAATAATGTTTCAGGAATGCTAATCTTATCGGTTTCTAACTACTGAAACAATTTCAGAACAATCTGAGATGGTGGGTGACATGGCTTGCTGAATTGACATGGAATGACCCTGAAACTTTCACAAAAACATGTTTTATGAGTTAGCCCCAGTAACATACAAGTTTTACTCTTCCATAGGCCTACATGTTTTAAAATGGCCCTTTGCAAGTAGCCTACTGTGGCTGACAAATGTGACAGAGTGAGTAACATGGTGCAAGCTGAAGCAATATGTTATGATATTTAACAAAAGATGTATGCAGATCAGTGATAATTGTGTTCTAATAATAGTAATAATACGTATTTATGTATCTATTAGTGTTGACATGAGTGAATTACCTTGTGTAGTCTCCTTTGGCCTCCTGCGAAACAAGAGTGCCCTTACAAGTTAGAATAATGAATATGCATCAAGTACTACTAGCCTGGAGGACTTATAAAAACATTATCAGTACGTCATTAATAAGTCTTGAATGTTATTTAGGACTATGGGAACACTTTTTAATCTTACTCAGTTTTGAATAGCATTTACAGCAAAACATCTTATTACACACTATAAGAAGTACAATGATTTCAATATTGAAGTAAAAACGTAGCTGCACATCACTTACAAGACGACTCCGAAATGAATTTATTTTAACAGCGTGCATGAGTGTTGATTCAGTTTATATTCAAATCGCTGATGAATTACAGTCACACAAACTACAAAAATGCACTTACCTGCAAAGCGTATGCAGCTAATTTGAAAACATTTTCACTCTCCACTTCGATTATCTCCTGTCGTTAAAAAATGAGAAAATGTGTTATAGGGTAAAAAACAACAAAAAATGAGAAAATGTGTTATAGGGTAAAAAACAACAAGAGTACCACGTTGGAACAGTAGCACTTGACTTGAAGGAAATCTCATTCCCACCAGTAAGTACCTACCTCAACGGTTACCGACTGAACCAATGTCAATGAAAAGCAGGTGTACGTATTTAAGGTTGATTCGGAATCTTACATGTTTTTCATATTCTTCATGGACGTTCAAAACTAAATCTTGCTGCATAGCCTATATAATGACATGCAACGACAAAGTACATACAATAGCTACAAAAAGCCTCTATAACCACAGTTATTTATAATTTCAACCCCCTAATCATCAAAATGGTACATTCTTCGAGCAGGTTCACGTTCCTCCAGTGTTGAAAAAAAGTTCGTCCTGGGCACTGAGCTATAAGGTCCTGGAGCGTATTCATTACGCCAATTCTGTTGCAAACCGTTTCCTAAACGGAAGGAAACGGAACGAAACGAGGAGAGACCTACCTGAATTTGTCCAACAGAAACTCTCGTTTTGCTCTGTTTGCTTCCGTTTAAGAAACACCCCTGTGGTCCAAAACGGAAACAAACAGAGAAAAACAAGAGTTTCTATTGGACAAATTCAGGTAGGTCCCTCCCCGTTTCGTTTGCTTCCGTTTAAGAAATGTTTTGCAACAGAATCACCAGAATGAATACACTCCTGGCAAATTGGCAGCATTGTATCAAAGATGGTGGATAAATGAAGATAATTCACTCAGGCCGTTTACCATTGAAATAAATGGTCAGTTCCTGTCTACTTAACTATGTGTGTCTCCCATAGAAACCAATGCAATAGCAGCTGTGTCTGGTCTTCTTAGTTCTTAGGCTGCGTTCAAAACAACTGGGAACTTGGAAAAATACGAGGTCAAATCATGACGTCAGTGATATTCAGGTCGGAAAGTTGGAGCTCTAGAAAGAGGCCTGAGTTCCCAAGTTGCAATTCTGAGTTGGATGACCGTTCAAATAACATTTTCCCAGTCAGAGCATGTTTTTTTCCGAGTTCCCAGTTGTTTTGAACGCACTGAAGTCGGAAGGCTGAGATTTCTTCCCAGTTCCGAGTTCCCAGTTGTTTTGAACGTGGAGGTGTCATTGTAAAAAAAAAAGTCTGTCTTGCTCCTCTCCTCTCTACCTAACTTCCCCTCACAGTCCCTTCAGTTTCCCTTAAGTCCCGTTAGTTTGGCTGCTCATCCTACCGTAGTTATCCCTCACCAGTCATAGCCCTGCCATTCCCAACCAATCAGAGAGCTTGGAAATGCATATCTGGACACTGCACCCGCCCACTCAGGTCAGAGTGTTATCGTCGTCCGAAGGGAAAATACACAAGTTTCTGAGGACTTTTTATTGTCGACAGTAACACGAATATCTGAATGTTGTGCATGCATCAAAATAACCACAACAATAAGATTCCAAGCCATTTGGATTACCACAATCATTAAACATCTTCAAATGGAAACAGATGTGTCTGCGTCTGTGTGTGTGTGTGGTGGTGACTATCAAGAGTACAGTGATGGGCCTCAACATCATATTCTAACCGGACAGCACTATAGTGGGCAGAACCAAACCAATCAGCATTAAGTATATAGTGGGTGAAGGCATTCACAGCCGACCACTCAGACGGGTGAGGGCATACCAGCCAACCGTTTTTATATGGTCCTTCTAGCCCGATTTAGCTACCAACAGTTTTTTACATGGTGCTTCATTCTGCCGGATTTAGCGACCAATAGGTTTTACATGGTCTTTCGTATCGCCGGATTCTGACCTCTATAGTTGAGATGTTGAGGTGCCCCGAAGAGGAGTCATGCCAAGAGACGCCTGTCACCACCCATCTCAGACCACACCACCACACAAAGCCGTCATGCACCTGAGGAAGATGAGTTGCAAGGCCCTACACACCTCTCTAATCTAAGAGACTACCAGCCCTGCTCAGTGGTCAGGTAGTGACCATACCCTCACCAGTTGGAAGCTGATGAGGGAATACGAGTACCTGCGACACGAGCAGCAAGAGATCATGAGGGCGTACTTTAGGCCCTCCCGGCCTGAGTCACCGCCACGGGAGCACTGGTACTGCCCCTACTCTAATTTTACATTTACATTTTAGTCATTTAGCAGACACTCTTATCCAGAGCGACTTACAGTAGTGAGTGCACACATTTTCATACTTTTTCGTACTGGTCCCCTGTGGGACTGAAACCCACAAATCTAGCATTGCATGTGCCATGCTCTACCAACTGACCACCACTGCACTAGGCCTCCCCGACTAGAGCCATCGTCACCATCACGGGAGCGCCATCAATGCCGATACTCCCTGAGTCGGCCCAGCTACTCCCCTCCCGACCTGAGCGCTCGCCACCTCCACGGGACCATTGGGACCCTCACTACGTTATCGTCGTCCGAAGGGAAAAGACACATGTTTCTGAGGACTTTTTATTGTCGACAGTAACACGAATGTCTGAATGTTGTGCATGCATCGAAATAACCACAACAATAAGATTCCAAGCCATTTGGATTACCACAATCATTAAACATCTTCAAATGGAAACAGATGTGTTTGCGTCTGTGTGTGTGTGTGGTGGTGACTATCAAGAGTACAGTGATGGGCCTCAACATCATATTCTAACCGGACAGCACTATAGTGGGCAGAACCAAACCAATCAGCATTAAGTATATAGCGGGTGAGGGCATTCACAGCCGACCGCTCAGACGGGTGAGGGCATACCAGCCAACCGTTTTTACATGGTCCATCTAGCCGGATTTAGTTACCAACAGTTTTTTACATGGTCCTTCAATCCACCAGATTTAGCGACCAATAGTTTTTACAGTCATAATACCCATAAAACCTAGCGGTCAAACAGGGAAATGGTTCCAATTGTTTTCCACCATTCATTTTTCCCATAGGGGATTTTATAAACACTTAAAATAAGGGCTGTGTTTTGTGTTGGCTTACCCTGGGGTGACATTTTGATAACCATGTAAATCTCTCTCGGACAAGGTGACTTTTATCAATATATTAGTCTCTATATACTCTCAGATTCGAAATTGCTAATTAGCATCAAAGTAGACGTCATGCAAAACTACAAATCCCTGCAAGCTCCTGCATGTCATCTCTAGCTGACAATTTTGCTAACAGGTATTGTGTCAATTTAAAACTTGCACAAGACAGCTCACAGAATTGTCCATTTAAAGAAAGTTAGTCAATTTATTAATTACTCCATTTAGCTAACATTAGATAGGAAATCCAGAGATTTGGCTGTCTTGTCCAGATCATCATGGCATGTGTAGTTCTTCATGATAGCCACATTAGCAGCTAATTAGCATTTCATTTTGGGGGGGTGAATACAGGCGAATATATCGATAAAAGTCACCTTGTCCTAGAGATATTTACATGGTTATCAAAACATCACACCAGGGTAAGCCTACACGAAACACAGACCTTATTTTAAGTGTTTCTAAAATGACCTATGGGGAAAATGATTGGTGGAAAAACGATTGGAACCATTTCCCAGTTTGACCGCTAGGTTTTATGGGTATTATGACTCATACTGTGGTACTCTATCAACTTTAATTGAACCAGAAAATAAAAAAGTGGGGTGCTTTGAAAAAACTAGAGAGAGGAAAACATATTTCTAGTGTGTGTGATATCAAATGGATTCTGTTCAGTTCCATACAGGGTTATGCAGTGCACGTGAAGTTTTTAATAATTTAAATAATTTCTGGGTAACAGTACCTTACTGTGATTGTTTGCAATCAAAATGGTCAAAAAGAAACAAAAATAGTTTCTTAGCAAAGAGCAATTTCTCAAGCAACAATTTTGCTAAGACTGTTCGTGAGTGGTCTGAGTGGGAAGGGGAAAATGGAAAACTAGCTGTTATTGGCAGAGATGTTTGGAACTCTCTTTCTTATTGGTCTAAACTAAATTCCACCAAAACAGGCTGACATTTCAGGCTGACTTTTCAAACAGCTCTTACATTAAAAGGGCATTTTCATAATTTTCACAATTTCACTGTATTATTCCAACCTCATAGTGTGGAAATACTGTATATATAAAACACAGGAAAATCACATTTATGACTGCCTTTAAGACCATCTCCATGGGCCAGAGATGCTTAAATACATGGGTAACTATCACATCTGAACTCATATTGGGATTCCATTGTTTCCTCTGGATAATTCAGCAACATTAGGTGATAAACAAATACTGATGAAGAGCCATCTGGATTTACACCATCCCTGGCTACGCAGAGACTGACTGACTAAATGTCAAATAAAATAAAATGTTATTAGTCACATGCTTCGTAAACAACAGGTGTAGACTAACAGTGAAATGTTTATGCTCCCTTCCCAACAATGAAGAGAGACAGAAAATAGAGAAACAATAGAAAAGTAAAACACGTAATAATAAAAGTAATAATAAATACACAATGAGTGACTATAACTTGGCTATATACACGGCATACCACTACCGAGTCGATGTGCAGGGGTATGAGGTAATTGAGGTATATAATTTATGTACATATAACTAGGAATAAAAGTGACAGATAAACAGTAGCAGCAAGTCAATAATATAATAATACTCTTAGTAAACATTTTCATCTTTAATATACAATATGTAGAAACTATGAGAATAGAAAAGTTAAGAACTTTTGTGAAATATTACAGCACAGTTGAAAAATATATGGCAATTAGAAATCAAAACTGGATGGTGTTCAGAGATAGATGGGAGGGGTTGAGGGTAGCTGACGGCTGGGACTAATAACAAATAAAACAAATAAAAAAAGATAACTAATGTAAAATATACTGTGTCAGTAAAATGTATAGAGTACGTATAAGCTGGAAGTAGAAGCCTAAGTATTGTTGTCCATACATTTTACTCCAGTTAGGGAAAGGGTGGTAGGGTTAGGGGAAAATAATAAAGAAGGAAAATATATGTTTTTTAAATATACAGTGGGGAAAAAAAGTATTTAGTCAGCCACTATTTGTGCAAGTTCTCCCACTTAAAAAGATGAGAGAGGCCTGTAATTTTCATCATAGGTACACGTCAACTATGACAGACAAATTGAGAAAATAAAATCCAGAAAATCCCATTGTAGGATTTTTAATGAATTTATTTGCAAATTATGGTGGAAAATAAGTATTTGGTCACCTACAAACAAGCAAGATTTCTGGCTCTCACAGACCTGTAACTTCTTCTTTAAGAGGCTCCTCTGTCCTCCACTCGTTACCTGTATTAATGGCACCTGTTTGAACTTGTTATCAGTATGAAAGACACCTGTCCACAACCTCAAACAGTCACACTCCAAACTCCACAATGGCCAAGACCAAAGAGCTGTCAAAGGACACCAAAAACAAAATTGTAGACCTGCACCAGGCTGGGAAGACTGAATCTGCAATAGGTAAGCAGCTTGGTTTGAATAAATCAACTGTGGGAGCAATTATTAGGAAATGGAAGACATACAAGACCACTGATAATCTCCCTCGATCTGGGGCTCCACGCAAGATCTCACCCCGTGGGGTCAAAATGATCACAAGAACGGTGAGCAAAAATCCCAGAACCACACAGGGGGACCTAGTGAATGACCTGCAGAGAGCTGGGACCAAAGTAACAAAGCCTACCATCAGTAACACACTACGCCGACAGGGACTCAAATCCTGCAGTGCCAGACGTGTCCCCCTGCTTAAGCCAGTACATGTCCAGGCCCGTCTGAAGTGCATTTGGATGATCCAGAAGAGGATTGGGAGAATGTCATATGGTCAGATGAAACCAAAATATAACTTTTTGGTAAAAACTCAACTCGTCATGTTTGGAGGACAAAGAATGCTGAGTTGCATCCAAAGAACACCATACCTACTGTGAAGCATGGGGTTGGAAACATCATGCTTTGGGGCTGTTTTTCTGCAAAGGGACCAGGACGACTGATCCGTGTAAAGGAAAGAATGAATGGGGCCATGTATCGTGAGATTTTGAGTGAAACCCTCCTTCCATCAGCAAGGGCATTGAAGATGAAACGTGGCTGGGTCTTTCAGCATGACAATGATCCCAAACACACCGCCCGGGCAACGAAGGAGTGGCTTCGTAAGAAGCATTTCAAGGTCCTGGAGTGGCCTAGCCAGTCTCCAGATCTCAACCCCATAGAAAATCTTTGGAGGGAGTTGAAAGTCTGTGTTGCCCAGCGACAGCCCCAAAACATCACTGCTCTAGAGGAGATCTGCATGGAGGAATGGGCCAAAATACCAGCAACAGTGTGTGAAAACCTTGTGAAGACTTACAGAAAACGTTTGACCTGTGTCATTGCCAACAAAGGGTATATAACAAAGTATTGAGCAACTTTTGTTATTGACCAAATACTTATTTTCCACCATAATTTGCTAATAAATTCATTAAAAATCCTACAATGTGATTTTCTGGATTTTTTTTCTCATTTTGTCTGTCATAGTTGACGTGTACCTATGATGAAAATTACAGGCCTCTCTCATCTTTTTAAGTGGGAGAACTTGCACAATTGGTGGCTGACTAAATACTTTTTTTCCCCACTGTATGGGGGACTGGAAATGTTGCAGACAATTACAGTGATAGAACCCACAATCTATCTGCAATATTAAAGCTGATCTATATATGAAAATAGCAGCAGCGAATAAGTTAGTGCAAAAAGCGTCAATTCAGATAGTCCGGGTATCTGTTTAACTAACTATTTAGCAGTCTTATGGCTTGCAGGAAGAAGCTGTTCAGGATCCTATTGGTTCCAGACTTGGTGCATCGTTACCGCTTGCCGTGCAGTAGCAGAGAGAACAGTCTATGACTTGGGTGGCTTGAGTCTTCGACAAATTTAAGGACATTCCTCTGACAATGCCTGGTCTAGAGGTCCTGGATGGCAGGGAGTTCGGCCTCAGTGATGTACTGGGCCATACGCACTACCCTCTGTAGCGCCTTGTAGTCGAATGCCAAGCAGTTGCCATACCAAACGGTGATGCAGCCAGTCAAGATGCTCTCAATGGTGCAAGTCTGGAACCAACAGCACTGTCGTGCCCTCTTCACGACTGTGTTGGTGTGTGTGGACCATGATAGATCCTTAGTGATGTGGACACCGAGGAACTTGGTCTCAACTTGCTCCACTACAGCCACGTCGATGTGAGTGGGGCCGTGCTCGGTCCTCTGTTTCCTGTAGTCCAAGATCAGCTCCTTTGTCTTGCTGAGGTTGAGGGAGAGGTTGTTGTCCTGGCACCACACGACCAGGTCTCTGACCTCCTCCCTTTAGGCTGTCTCATCGTTGTCGGGGATCAGGACTACCACGTAGTATCATCAGCAAACTCAATGATGGTGTTGGAGTCATACGTGGCCACACAGTTGTGGGTGAACAGGGAGTACAGGAGGGGACTAAGCACGCATTCCTGAGGGGCCCCCGTGTTGAGGGTCAGCCTGGCGGATGTGTTGTTGCCTACCCTTACCACCTGGGGTGTAATTGTTTAATTACACCCCAGATTTTTGATGGTCAAACATCAGCTTTCCAATGTCAGACTAATAAGGAAAGTGAACGGTGGGTGGGTGCACCACTCAACCCATTACAATCACTGCTGTGTGTGTGTGTGAGTATGTGTGTATGTGTGTGTGTGTGTGTGTGTTTGTGTGTGTATGTGTGTGTGTAGGCTAATTTGTGATGTATGTGTGTCTGTATGTGTATGAAATGTCAGACCTGTTTCTCCAGCTCCATCATCCAACATGTATAGTAGATGATTTCCTCCTGTTAATTATCACAAACGCTATCTAATACTTTATAACAATACAGCTAATTTCTGCTACTCTGGCTGTGTGTGGCATGGGAAATATACACAGGTCTCTGAGAGGGGAGGCAGTGAATCAGGATATTGTTCTTTTTCATGTTGTTACAGTGCAGCGTTTCCAAAAGAGAGCCCTGAGTCAAATTATATTTTGGAGGATTAGCTAACTATTTGGTACTCATTGTGTTGAAGAATGTAGTATTAGAGTACATAAAACAAAAGTGTGAAGTCAGCAAGTGAAGTGAGTTTAGCCCCATGAGTAATTAAATATGTGCAGAACAATTACTCTAAAGACTGTTTTTGAAAGAGCTTGAAATAATGAAGAGTAATGGCCTACATCTTAATAAGTACTGGAGAGTGTCCAGTAAAACAGGCACTCCTTACTAAACAACTGTCTTCTGTAAATGGTTTGTAGACAAAATAACTCTCTGGCCACCAACTATGTTTTGGGCCCACCTTGCTTGTTTTAAGATGTTGACATCTAGAGTCAGCTTTCAGTTCCAGCAGCAACTCATCCTATCAGTTAGAATTCCCCACAATGATTCCACAGCAGGAACTTTTGTCTTGTAATTCCATTTGTGGGATTATATTTTCACACAAATGATCACAGGTCACACAATTGGTTTATGTCTACGCATGCAGTGGATGAGCCCCAACAGAGTAAGCACATTATTTGTGCATTGGCATGGAAATTGAAGGACAGGCTATGGAGGGCTGACTCGTGGCATGCTCAATACAATCATATTGAGTAACAAATGTAAGAAATGTAGTTACATCCACTTACATTGAAGACAGACAATTTGGCATTTAGGAAAAACAGCTCCACTGTTGTATTCTCTTTCAAGAATGTTATCTTCTCAATATAAAACCTGTAAAACACACATATATACATGGTGTAAATCATATGGAGTACTTGAATTAGGTGTAAGGGTAATAGTGCCCCCCTTCCAATTTCAGAACAGTCGTTCTTATTGCAGATTGTCAAACACTGTTACATTAGCGCCATCTACTGGACACGAGTCGCTACATGTGGTCTGGGTTACAAGTACTGTACCTCCTCCGATCAACACTGGGGATTAACACTGTAGTAGCTCTTTGAGGCTTCTCTTGGGCAACATTTATAGATACCTCACATTTTCAGATGTTCTCGAAGAGGAAGGAAAGTCTATGGATTAAAGTGTGTAAGATACACTGTAAGATATGTAAAATACACTGTCGAAGTCTCAGACTGATGCTAGGTTTGTGATAGAGTACACTATGGGGTAGCCGGCTACTACAGTATGGTGGTCCATACTGTAGGCTACCAGCTGAGAGGCAGTGAGAGAGAGATCACTCACCTGACCAGGAACTTCAGCTCCAGTGGACCAGTCTTTTCAGTGAAGTCATGATCCAGGACCCTGCGATCCAGCTGGAGCCATTTACTCTGACCGCTGGGGAAGTATACGAGCAGATGCTACCCCTTTAACTTTGATGTCAACTGCTAGACTGATACAGAGTTGTCTCATAAATTGCATAATTTCAAGTTGTGTCATGGAGATGCAATCAGCAGCAGGAAAGGGAGCTGTAGGGAAATGTAGTTACAGATGTACTTCCTAAATGTTGATTAGTTTCTCACAGCAGGAAAATAATCCTGCAGCAACAGGAATTGTGAATTATTATGTGTATTATAATGAATGGACATTTTTGTAGGGGTTGCACATTTTTTTGTTAGGATGAATCAAGTCTGACATTTTAAAGTAGAAATTACAAACTTTAGAAGCCTTGAATACACTACAATTTGCATTTCCTGCTGTGATCAAATTAAAATAGAACATCTGTAGGAGTTGTACGTACGCGTCATCGATGAAGGATATTCCAAAATACTCCTTCTCCTTCAGGTTAAAGTGTGAGGACACCAAGTCTAACAGGTCCCGGGACAAGAGCTTCGGCTAGGAAAATGAAACCAGTATAAATGAAATAGAGTATAACGACACAGTGATCAACATTAGAAGTACGGAAGTCGAGGATGTGTGGAGGGTGTGTACCTGGACCAGTAGGTCCAGCTTCCTGTCGTCCAGGAGGTGCACCTGGCACAGCCGGCCCTCTGTCATCTGTGGGAAGGGAACAGACATGATGACATCCCCTGGAACAGGGAAGGGCAACTGGCGGCATGCCCCCCTTTTGTAGGCCCGCAGTTGAGATGAGTGTGTGGGTGTGTTTGGAGATAGTGAACATTCAAGCTGCTGTTGGTGATATTTTAAGACCCATAATCTGCTTTCCTTATTCTGTTATGTCTGAGTGTGTAGTGATATTGGGACAATGTTTCAACAAACACAGTTGTAAGAAACAAGAGACTGAATTGTCAGGTAAAACTGAGACACTTCAACAAAGCATGGCCATGTAAGAGGTCTGCAAAAGCTGCAGGGACACCAGGGAAAGATGATTCACAGGATTCGTGTCTGTGTTGACTCTCAAGGCTGCTTGAACGTGGCGAAGAGTCGGTTTGAGTGAAAAACATGTGGCTCCCAACTGGTTAGGCTGGCCTGGTCTCTATGGTGGAAAGTGACCACAGGGTGGGAATAGAAGTTCTGGGCTGGTGTTAACTGCAGTCTACCAGAACATATTGTTCCCTCCACCACCACCACAGAGTTGCTTTTAAGCTGTTATACAGGCTACTTTTTTGCTTTGTTTTTGAACACATAAAACCTAATTGACATTTACTCACTTATGGGCATGTCTGGACAAAGTATTTTATTTATTGTCACGCAAACACTGAATTATGTCAACTCTCTTTTTCTAAAGTCAAACTGTAGTTTCTAGGAATTTCAAAAACAAAGTCGAATCTCAGTCATGTTTCCCTTGAGAATTCAAGCCCTTTCTGAATGGTTCAATAGCCCATCTATGTAGCAAAGACCAAGAACCTTAATCAGAAACACAATCATGGATTACTAGATGACAAGTTTTTATAACACAGAGAAAAAAACTATAAGACCTGTCTTCATAGAACAACATAGGATTGTGTGTAATCCGTTTTAATAGAGAGAATTATTGTAGCTGTTAATTACACAATCTCCATTGTCTAAACATGGATTAGTCGCTATAGTGATTGTGGGGGTTGTCCAGTGCATGATCCACACTATGGTGCATTTATCAATGCTGCATTGTTATGGACAAATTACATTAAAACATACAAACAAAGAGGCCAGTAGCTCCATGGTCTAAAATGTGTTAGTCTTCCAACATTGTTTAATGGGATAAAGTGAGACAATAGTAGTACAAATGTTGAGTTAAAGTATAAAAAAATTCAAGTATCTCCAACACACTACCCACACCCCCAGCTTTTCTGCTCCTTTTCTGTGCCTGTCTCTGTCTACCCCTAAAGCCCCCCCACCTACCCTCACACCACCACCACCCGCATACAGTAACTCCATTTCAAATTCACCTTAGCAAGACATCTAATGAGCTACTGCTCAGTCTGAACCCTATCCCCAAATCATTACGCCACAGCTCACCGCACAACCAATTTAAAAAAGACATGGACTCATAAACATTTTAACAGACAATGCCTAAAATACCCCTAGAGGTACAATGTCCTGTGGATCTACATGTTGTTCTCACGCAATTCATGTTTCCTTACTTTAGTAGAATGCAGTAAAAGAAGACCCACTGACATCAATTCAACCCTAGCCCCACGTTGGTTAACGTGATTTCATTGTAATCACGTGGAAACAACGTTGATTCAACCAGTGTGTGCCCAGTGGGGAGATTTGTTGGTGACTATCTGACCTAAACATATTTTAACAATTGTCAGGATGGACCCCTGAAAAAAGCACTGTGATGCCGAAACGTTGGTAGTTTACCCAATAAATTACTGGGAGCTTATATATAACGTGCAACTCTTTATTTTTATAGCCTACAATTGACTCACCATTAATCAGCTTTGGGTGTGCGCCAGCTCATGCTTTTCACTAGACTATGTATCCTAACTATTTTTTAACAAGTGTCAAGATGGACCACCCCTCACGTAAGGCAGACAGGCTAGAGGCCATGGCTTTAGAGAGGTTGACCCGCAGGTTTAAAGGAAGGTCATGTGATGTGTAATAGCCATGCCAGAGAGGTCATCCCCCTGAAGGCCTGTCATTGGGGCGGGGCGTTCCAGCCGTGGCCTCTTCACACGACCTCCAGCCACTGACCTACATAGGCTTAGCTCCAACCCTGAAGCATTAGGCCCTGCCTGTAATTGACTGCTTATCAGGCTTATTGACATATTCTCACTGATTACCATCTCCTGTCACCAGCCATCTTCACTGACGATGTAATTTGGCTTTTAGTGGTACTTCATAAACAATAACCTTTCCTAATTTGAAATCTTGACATTTTTTAAATTTTGGAACATTTTCCAATTTTGACAGAAATGTACATAATTATAGAAGATGTCTCATTTGTTCATAAACAAGATCCCATTCAGGTGCTCCAACAAAAGACAGCATTTCAAAGACAACCTTCAAAGCTCAAAAGACTGGCCATGCTGCTTCCTGATGACTTCCATATGTGCCATGAGACCCATGTTAAACCTGTCTCTGTGACTCATACAGAAACACCCTGTCCTGAGTCCTCACAGGCACAAACAGTAAACTTTCACCCAACAGACACCATCAATTGGACACTGACCAGTCAAAGACAATCTATCAAATACAATATGTAATTCTAAAAGTAAAATTAAATCGTAGTACCCTTTGGATATACATAGTTATAGCTACAATGTGATGGTTATTCTACAGACTCCAGACAACTCCTGACAGTTATGTCAATTTACAGAAAGCAAGATGTAAAACAGTATCAACAAGACAGGTCAAATTAGAATATATATTAGACATGATCTTGCTCCAGCCACCAGTACATCCCAGTTGGCAGCTAGCAGCTGGCACAGTCAACAGGGTAGTCAATAAAAGTCAAATTGATCAGAGTAGCATGTACAGTACAATCCTTCCCCTGGAGTAAAGGGATTGATTGGTAACACAGTTCCAGCGTACCTGATAGAACTCCCCGAGCCGCCACCATGTCTGTAGGAAGCGGCGGGCTGGCATGAGCCCCTGAGAGGACCATCTTCTGAGGGTCTGCTCCGCCAAGCTCCACACAACCTTGCTGCTTGAGGCCAGCAGCTCCTCCACTCTAGACATGAAGCCCAGAGCCATGGCTGTCACTTCACCTCTCACTCACTCACTCCCAGAGACCAGACTGAGATACCCAGTGCCCGGCACAGCCTCTCTCGACTGATGAAGTTGTAGAAAGTCTGTGATGCTTGAGAGATGCTTGAAAGGTAAGCACACTACTCCGTCTTCTTGGCCCAAGAGAATGTACACTGCTGAGTAAAACACCAACTTCACTCTGTGTCTAGAGGCTGTTGTGACTCAGAATGTCAATACCCTGGAGGAACATCAGTAGTAGTATACTACTACACACACGCTTTACTATGTCTCCCTGCTGATGTAATCTGTGAGAGTCACAGCTCTGGTCTAGAGAGGCTGGAGTTGTAGAGCTGGAGTGGAGTGGCGCGCCAAAGGGTGAGCTCTGACACTCACAGGGCAAAGGGGAGAGGGAGGGCAGGACAGAGCCACAGAGAACCAACCTAAAGAAGCTTGGTCTGCAGTGCACACCACATAAACACACTTTACACACACTCACAGGCAGACTGACGGACAGCTCAGTCACTCCATCCCCGCCTCGTAAACACTCTATTTTCTTTCTGACCTAGAGCTTAGTCTTTTTCATGAGGTTTTCCACTCTGTTGTTAACTTAATTTGAGACTGTAGTTGCTCATTCATTAGGGAAATGGATCAACTGTAATGCTAGTGTTTCGCACCATTTGGAGGGTTCAGAGAGTGGAACGTCAACTATATGAAAGTTAAGACCAAACAGAGGCAGAATACAGGACTTCTATAAGGCAACCACCATCTCAATTATCTTACATGACACACCAATTTATAGGCACACGCCAGGCATTACTAATCAATCACTAACATCCAATTCATATCCTTATTCTAATCATGGTATTGAAATATATAATATCACATTAGATATTAGATATTGTTATATAATAGTGTGAAATAGCGTGTGTAGATTTGAGTGATTCAGGATGGTTTCTGAAGAATTTCCTGAGGACAGTAGACGTCTCCACCCATCATATTCCACAGGAAAACTCAAAATAACCTGCTTTGATTTGGACCAGCAGAGGCACAGTAGCCACACTACCACTAAAACTGAAACTGTCTTTCTTTGGAACATTTTAAATGTTGGAACCTACGTCTGACATCAAACAGAATGTAACAGATATAGCTTAGGAAAAGTGAGGAAAGATTTCCATAGTGTAGTTGCTTTTGATATCAAACACTGACATTTGAAATACTGTGGGAACATCCTCATATTAATATTTTTACATTCCATTTAGCAAAGAAGGATGTGCATATTTCCCCAAAGAGCCGTACACCATTCTGACAGAAACGGAAGAAAATAAGTGAAAAGAGAGAAAATGTGCTCTCGGCTGTGGATTCTCATCTGGAAACAATATCATGTTGCTTGTTTGTGTGATCTGAGTCTGTCAATGCTGAGGTGTATGCGGCGGTGAAGTCAGGCGCAGGACACAGAGGATCAGTAACGACTACTTTACTTTCCAAAGTAAAATACGCACAAAACAAAAGCCTCCAAACACAAGAGGAGAAATGTACACGGAGTGCGTAATAAACAAGATGGTCAATGCCGAACATACATACAAGAGACGTGGACAATAACACACAAAGGCAAACATAAAACAAGGGAACTTATATGGTACATAATCAATACAAAATACGAAACAGGTGTACCAACTAGACAATACAAGACAAACATCGAAACATCGAGCGGCAGTAGTTAGTACTCCGGGGACGACGAACGCCGAAGCCTGCCCGAGCAAGGAGGAGGAGCAGCCTCGGCGGCATCCGTGACAGTACCCCCCCCCCCCCCCTTGACGTGCGGCTCCAGCCGTGCGCCGACCCCGGCCTCGGGGACGGCCAGGAGGACGCGGAGCAGGGCGCGTGGGATGACTCCGGTGGAACTCCGTCAGGAGGGAGGGATCTAAAATGTCCCTCCTAGGCACCCAGCACCGTTCCTCCGGACCGTACCCCTCCCACTCCACGAGATACTGCAGACCCCCCATCCGACGTCTCGAATCCACGATGGACCGGACTGAGTACGCCGGAGCCCCCTCGATGTCCAGTGGGGGCGGAGGAGTCTCCCGTATCTCATTGTCCTGGAGTGGACCAGCTACCACCGGCCTGAGGAGAGACACATGGAACGAGGGGTTAATGTGATAATCATTAGGCAGTTGTAACCTGTAACATACCTCGTTCAATCTCCTCAGGACTTTAAATGGCCCCACAAACCGCCAACCCAGCTTCCGGCAGGGCAGGCGAAGGGGCAGGTTTCGAGTCGAGAGCCAGGCTCGATCTCCAGGTGCGTACACAGGACCCTCACTGCGGTGGAGATCGGCGCTCGCCTTCTGCCTACGGATAGCCCGCTGCAGATGTACATGCGCAGTGTTCCATGTCTCATCCGAGCGCCGAAACCACTCATCCACCGCAGGAGCCTCGATCTGGCTCTGATGCCATGGTGCCAGAACCGGCTGATACCCCAACACACACTGGAAAGGGGTCAGATTCGTAGAGGAATGGCGAAGGGAGTTCTGGGCGATCTCTGCCCAGGGGATATACCCCGACCACTCCTCCTGCCGGTCCTGGCAATAAGATCTCAGAAACCTACCCACATCCTGGTTCACTCTCTCCACCTGCCCATTACTCTCAGGGTGGAAACCCGAGGTAAGGCTAACCGAGACCCCCAAGCGTTCCATGAACATGCTCCAGACTCTAGAGGTGAATTGGGGACCCCGATCAGACACTATATCCTCGGGTACCCCGTAGTGCCGGAAGACGTGGGTAAACAAAGCCTCAGCAGTCTGTAGGGCAGTAGGGAGACCCGGCATTGGGATGAGGCGACAGGCCTTAGAGAACCGATCCACAACGACCAGAATAGTGGTATTCCCCTGGGAAGGGGGAAGGTCCGTGACAAAGTCTACCGATAGGTGAGACCACGGCCGTTGTGGAACGGGTAGGGGTTGTAACTTCCCCCTGGGCAGGTGACTAGGCGCCTTACACTGAGCGCACACCGAGCAGGAGGAGACATAAACCCTCACGTCCTTAGCCAATGTTGGCCACCAGTACTTTTAACTAAGGCAGTGCACTGTCCGGCCAATACCAGGATGTCCAGAGGAGGGAGACGTATGAGCCCAATAAAGGAGACGATCACGAATCTCGAGTGGAACGTACGTCCGCCCCGCTGGACACTCTGGAGGAGTAGGGTCGGTACGTAACGCCCGCTCGATTTCCACATCGACCTCCCACACCACCGGTGCCACCAGACAAGACTCCGGCAGTATGGGAGTGGGCTCAATGGACCTCTCCTCTGTGTCATATCGCCGGGACAGGGCGTCTGCCTTAACGTTCTGGGACCCTGGGATGTAAGTGAGCTTAAAAACAAACCGGGCCAGAAACATGGCCCACCTAGCCTGACGAGGGTTCAGTCTCCTAGCTGCCCGGATGTACTCCAGGTTACGATGGTCAGTCAGAATGAGAAAAGGGTGTTGAGCCCCCTCAAGCCAATGCCTCCACACCTTTAGGGCTTGAACCATGGCTAGCAGCTCCCTGTCCCCCACGTCATAATTACGTTCCGCCGGGCTGAGCTTCTTCGAGTAAAAAGCGCAGGGCCGGAGTTTAGGAGGCGTGCCTGAGCGTTGAGACAGTACAGCCCCAATACCCGCCTCTGACGCGTCCACCTCCACCTGGAACGCTAAAGCGGGGTCCGGATGCGCCAGCACCGGAACCGAGGTGAACAGGTCCTTCAGTTGTCCAAACGCCCTGTCCGCCTCAGCCGACCACTGCAAACGCACCGGGCCCCCCTTCAGCAGGGAGGTGATGGGAGCTGCTACCTGTCCAAAACCCCGGATAAACCTCCGGTAGTAATTGGCAAAACCCAAAAACCGCTGCACCTCCTTAACCGTGGTTGGAGTCTGCCAATTACGCACGGCTGAAACGCGGTCAATCTCCATCTCCACCCCTGACGCGGACAACCGATGTCCCAGGAAGGAGATGGACTCCTGGAAAAACAGACATTTCTCTGCCTTGACATACAAGTCATGCTCCAACAGCCTACCCAACACTCGACGCACCAGGGCTACATGCTCGGCTCGTGTAGAAGAGTAAACTAGAATGTCGTCAATATACACCACTACACCCTGCCCATGCAAATCCCGGAAGATCTCGTCCACAAAGGATTGGAAGACTGAAGGAGCATTCATTAACCCGTATGGCATGACGAGATACTCATAGTGACCCGAGGTGGTACTAAATGCACCACGGGATACGCAGGAGAGTCGATCAGATACAACTGAATGATCTCCTCATGACCCCCCTGCATCCTCATCTTTAGTGGCGCTGTGACCTCCCTAATCAACTTAGATCCCAACGGACGGCTATCTAGGGCATGAATAGGAAAGGGCACATCTACTGGTAGGAGGGGAATCCCTAACTTAACACAAAAATTACGATCAATAAAATTCCCAGCTGCGCCTGAAACGACTAGTGCCTTATGCTGGGAATGAGATGCAACCTGGGGAAATACTACTTGTATACACAGGTGAACAACAGAGATCTCTGGGTGAGTTGGGCGCCTACTCACCTGGAATGACTCCCCAGTGCGTGACCTGTTGCCTCGATCCCCTGGAGACCCTCCCCAGCACCGAACCGCAGTGTGTCCTCTACGGCCACAGTTGGTGCAGAGGACGGCCTCCCTCCGGATCTCTCTCCTCCTCTCTCTAGCGCCAGCACCCCCGTTCTCCATAGGGCTCGGCTCGGAGGTGCTGGGGGATGGAATGGACGGCCCCAACTCTGGACGTCCGCGGGTAGCCAGCAGGGTATCCAGACGGATTGACATGTCCACCAATTGATCGAAGTTTAGATTGGTGTCCCTGCAGGCCAACTCTCATCGAACGTCCTCTCGCAGGCTGCACCGATAGAGGTCGATGAGGGCCCTCTCATTCCACCCCGCATCCGCCGCTAGAGTCCGGAAGTCCAGGGCGAACTCTTGTGCGCTCCTCTTCCCCTGTCGG